TTTAATAAATAAAAAAAAAAAACAAGGAAACAGTATGTCGCTTAAAGACCTAAGTCAATAGGTGCATTCGGTCGCTCTGAAATGTGGAAAAAAAACAAGTCTCTTGTTAAAATCTCTAATTTTTTACCAAAACAACAACACTACTCTATTGCTCTGACAAGCTAGTTACGAAGCAAAGGTATTCTTTGTTACGAAGTCTCTAATCGTCTACGAGAGTGCAGACAAATTATTTACCAGAGTGGTAAGCGATCTATTGTGAACCTTCATTGGAAATTTTTATAAATATTGCAGTTTTCTGCCGAAAGTTTTTTTTAAAACAATATTTCAAATAAAATTAAAGTTTTATAAATTTAAAAATTTAAAAAAAAAATATTTTAATTTATATAAATATTTTAAGCGTATATTTAAAAAAAAATTTTATAAATATGTAAAAGTTTTTAGTCGGTTTTTGTTGTTTAATATTTTTAACTTTTATTTCGTACGTTGTATTTTGTATATCTCTACACGTGTTTCGGCAAATTCGCCTTTGCCTACATCAGGCGAATTGCTAATATTATTAAAAGTGAATTTGCAGAAATACGTATAGGAATTCACAAAAAATACCATCAAAATAAAAGTTAAAATTCTTAAAACCAAAACCGACTGTAAGTTAATGCTTATTGAGGCAAGAGACTTGTTCCTTTTTGTCGCATTTGTAATCGCGGCAAATACACCTAAAATAATATCCAGCCTCATCACATGATATCTTAGTTGAGATTACCTGGTCAAGGTAAGTATATGACTTAGCCAATATTAAATTTAACTAGCCCATAATATAATTTATTAACTTTATTATAAATGAGTGTTGGGCTATCAGTCAGATTTTGTAATTTGGTTTTTTAATAAAAAATTTTTCTTATTATTTTACTTATTTAATATTTATTTCCGACGTTTCGGTTTTTTAAAATCATCATCAGGGAAAAAAATTTAAAACAACTGAATAGAATAAAAAAATAAAATAATAAAATAATTTATTAAATTATTAATTAAATAAATAAAATATATTACAAATTATGGTCATTGTTAAATATTTAATTATTTGATATTTTTTAGTGATGGCAATGCTTAAATCATTGCAACTGAGCTTTTCATTGTTAACGCGCTTTTGAAGCACATGTAGACGCCGCATGAATCAATGAAGTAAAATGTAAACAAAACACACACTAAATAAAACTAACAACAAAAACAATAAGAAAAAATTCCGGTTACAAGTAACTGGTATACTTGACACAGATTATAACATTTCATTACTAAATTGTTTTTGTTTTTTTTTTCTTTTGTTCACTTAAACCAAAACTACCCACAACTTTCACTTTCATTGAGCATTGTTGTTGTCGATTATTGCTTCTAATTTTTATGTTTACGAGAAACTAACACATACACATGACGTCACAAAATATAAACAAAAATGTCATTTCAACTTGTTTATAGAAATTGAAAAGCACAAAATCAGCTGTTTGATAAACTAAAAGGTCACCTTCAAAGCAAGAAAAAGTTTTTTTCTCGCTAATAAAATCAGTTAAAGGAAGAGTTTTAGTAGGTAAAGTGTGTGGTTTATTCTTTAAAAAATATTAAAGTTATATAAAATTAATAATATATGAAATAAAAAATATAAATTCAATGAATATATGCATAAAACTAAAATAATTTTTTAAAAAGAAGACAGTGATAGTAAAGTAATTAAAAGTTTTTAAAATATTTAAATAGATTTTGTGAAAAAATCTGCATTCCCTTTAAAAATTTATTCTAAATTAATATGCATGAATATTAAAATAAATAATATTTATATTAACGATATATGTACTAAGTGGAATGGTTTGTTTAATTAAAAAAAAATCCACCAAATATTATCACTCTATGGCCAGCAAATAATTTCCTGATTGTTTTTTCATTATTGGTGCTTCGAATGTGTGTGTGTGTGTTTGTGTTGAGTTTTTTATATGAAAGTTTAGGAATTTTTGTGAAATTATTTTAATTTTTTTTTCAAATTTATTTATTTTATTTTTAAAGTTTTATTACCAAGTTAAATTAGAAATTTAAAAAAAAATAAAAAAAAAAAATAAAAAAAAATACTGTAAGTAAATCAATTATTTTATATGACATTTATGTGAAGTACACATAAAAAAATTCAATTATTATTCAATTTCTGTTAATTAGAAATATATTTTATTTTTAAAAATAATTAAAGCTTGTATTCAATATTGGAACATTTGGGAGACACAAAAATTTTTAAAAATATTTAGAAATTACTTTTATACTTTTGTTTCGAAAAAAAAACCACATGAAGCGATAACATTTTTTTTATGATTAATTAAAAAATAAAAAATAAATATTATTGATAAAATGCAGGTCAGTAATTCACTGATAAATAGAAGTTTACTCAGTGCATTAGTTTAGATTTAAAAAATATTTTTCGCTTTGATTAGAAAAATATTTAAACGAAGCGAAGTCTACACTGTGCCTAAAAGCATTGCATTAATAAATCCATAAATTAGTAATAAATAATGAAAATTATAAAGAATTTTAACCAGATATATATTTTTTTGATTTTGATTAGGGTTATCAAAATAACGCTTTAGAGTTGGAGATTGAAATACAAATTATATTTATTAAATTGTTTGAATTTTATTTAATATTAATTAGAAAAATATATAAACGAAGCGAAATATTATTACAATCAAATATAAAAAACAATATTATTTAATTTGGTACATTGAATTTATTTATAGACAATTTAAAAAATCTCCATTAAACTTTGTTAGTTTTTTATATTCATCTGTAAAGAAAAGAAGCTCCATTAAAACCATCAAACTTTTATAAATGTTATATATTGTTCAAATTTGTTCACTGATTTCTCATCTAGGTTAGGTTAGGTTGTACCGCCAATCCCAGGGGGATCCACTTAGGCCTATAGGCCCATTGTGATACCGTATTATTGAGAACCCATGGGCTAAAACCATCTAGAAGATTTGTCACATATATAGCCCACAATATTGTTGGGCATTGGCTACGAATTGAATGCACAATCACCGTGAATATTTAATGTGTAATATTCCCAATTTTTTGCTGAACATCTTGCAAGAATAAAAAGCTACACAGGTCCTTTTCACTTATACATTTCCAATTTAGCTTACTATCCAACTATTGGGTTTCTTCCTATAGTTTTAACTGTTGTCCATTTAATAAAGGAAAATCGAAAGCCGGTATTTTGGTTTAGTGGTGTACATCAACATTCCAGTCTTTCCTGGATTGATACTTAGTCTACAGATTGGCGCCAAGTACATGCACCAGGGAATATCAGGGAACATATCTGAAACTAGAATAACCACATCATCTGCATACCTTTAAACAAATTTATGATTAAAGATGATTAAAATATGTCTGTGATTTGATGTATTATAATATATGTTAAGTATGTAATCAAACTTATACAGAGTTTATTAACTTAAAAGTGAGAAAATATATTATCACCTGAAAATGTTTTATTCAAATTGATTAAATAATAAGATTTATTTTCTAATTTCGTCTCATCACGTGAATAAATCATCACAAGAATTCTGAAAAAATGCAAAAAAGTACTTTCGTTTATTTATAATATATATTATATATTTTTATTTCATAATAGAGTGACGTATAATTATTTCTAGTAGAAATGTTTCAATTTTGCCGAAATTATTGGTATATATATACATATCTATATGATTGTATATGTATATATTTACAATTTTAAGGTCATTGACATTAAATATTGATGTCTCTTTTGTATTAAGAAAAATTTATTTATTTAATTTAAAATATTATTTTTAAATTTTGGTTGGTTCTCTGCCTAATATCAGATCATTAAAAAAAAAACAAAAGATAATGTATATAAATAAATAAATATATTTTAAAAATAAATTTTAAAATTAAAAACATTTTATCATATGAGCACTTGACTTAAAGAGTGAACTACATGTGAATCTGAAGATAATTAGGTTTTAAACTACTAATTAAGCAATTATATTCGAATATTTATTATTATTCTTATAATGATTCTAATATTAGCACAAAATTTATAATGAAATTTTTAACTAACTTTTATAAATAAATAACACAATCTACTTTATGAACTTCGTTTGCAAAATTGACAATGTCAATTAACTTATATACAGATCTATTGTTCCCTTATGGGAGAGGATATTCAATTTTTCACCTGATTCTTTTTCTTACTTTGGGTTACGTTAAAGTACCACAAAACTAGAACTATTAATGGAAAATGTATATAAGGATTGTTTATAGCATTTTCATCTATATATGCAAGATATATTTAAACTCCTTTTTGAGTAATTATTCAATCCAAAAAAGAATTTATTAGACAACAAACGAGTAGGTTCCTATCAACTTGTATTTCAGTAAATATATCTAGTACGATTTGTTCAGGATTTTAAAATAAGCTACTGTGTAGGTTGAGATTGCAGAATAGAGCATGGACTCAGAGTGATACATCTGCAGAATATGCAAGATAGATACAATGATTACATGTCTTTCATCAAGATGTATGAAAAAACTAGTTTTGTTTGGTACATTTTTGTTTTAAAATGTGTTGATCCAATGAGCCAAGAACGAAAATGAGCTATTCTTAGTTTTGATTGAAGGAAATTGGTAAGAAGTAAATGATATGCATCCTGAAATACTATGAAACTCATGTTATCGGTTGACTTCATGATCAATTCTTTTTCACAGCTAGTTCATCCAAATTTATACTCTTGATTGTAAGTATTTAAGTAATAATAAGTCTACTGTAATGAATTGATACAGAAATATTGCCCGATTTTGTTATAAAACCGCTACGTGCTGGAGCTCAGGGTACACACTAAATATCTGTATTCCAGATAATTAATTCATATTCAGTGGGATGTAATCAGTATACTGTGTCAGAAACTTTTCGCTCTAATAAAATCACACAATGCTTGTCATCGAACAGCCTGATGATTTCTGATATCTCCATCAATTTTAACTGGACGTCTGGAATATGACGCAACACACATGATTACAAGATCATATTAAAACATACTTGTTCATTCTTATAAATACATATCGATATATTATTTACATATAATGTAGGAATACACCTAATTGAATTAATCGGCCGGAAAATTTGTTGGAAATTTACTTCAAACATTCTTTAATATGTGTATTTTAGTTTTTGTGTCAAAATAAGTTTTCGATCAATTGTCTAGAGAGAAGAAATACCTACGCCTTATAAACTTACTTATTCGCAGTTTTCACTAATAAGGTACTTTAACGGACATAGGCCCAAGGCCCGCTGTTATATCATTAGGGGACTTATTTCACGTTTTTTTTAATTTAATATTTTAGGTATTAGGTGTTTTAGGTATTAATTTTAATATATTATAATTTATTTTTTTTAATAAATTTAGTTAATAATTTTGAAGTATTTTATTTGGACTTGAAGTTATTGGTTTGTTAGCAATAGCTATGACAACATTTATTTTTAAGCCTATTTTCAACTTTTCCTTGATATCTAATATATACATATATTCAAGAATTTCGGTTCAAAATAAAGTTATGTATACAAAAAAACTGCATCTACCTTTATAGTACTGTGACCCACATAGGTTCAAAAATCTGTTGTGATACCAAAAATCGATATTAATTTACTTAACCTTAATTTAATATTTTTTTAAAAATTAGTTTAGTTGTTAAAAATGTTGAAATATTTTATTTGGACTTGAAGTTAATGTGTTTGATGTTTGTCTTAATTATTTCAGTAAATCATTATAATGATTTGTTTTCAATATATAAATAATAGAACATATATTCTTATTAAGCCTATTTAAGCTTTTTTTTGAAATATAATAAATAATAAATTTTCAACAATAGTGGTCCAAAATTAATTTATTAAGAGAAATCAAATTTTTTTTCTTTATAAACATGGGACTCACATAGGTTCAACATTCATTTAAATAACATTAGGGGATTCTTTAATGTCTTTTGTAAAATGACATCGTTTTTTTTGTTTTAATTCTTCAATGAGGGCAAAATATCGCCTTAAGAAAACTGTTTAACACCCCATGGTACGTAAGAGGAGCGGGTTATTCACAGAGATTTGAGAGTCATTCAGTTGAAAAATATATTAAAGATCGTGCACTGAAACTGTTCAATATAATTTACTGTCACAATAATCCAACACTCAGCAACCTAAAAATACAACGAAATCTGATAAACACAGGCAGATACAAAGACATCAGATCCATCATATTATAAAGTCCCGTATTCAGTTATTCTTAGTGTGACCTAAAACTGTCTACAAATATAATAGAGTTAAGATGATGAATCACCAACTCAGACATCTCCATATCAACACCTTTTTTCCATAATTTTAGTAAACGATATTGAAAATTTTATAATCATAAAATTTCCATTATCCATTATAATCCATAATAGTATAAAATTATCCGTAATAGTTTGAGATATTTTTTGATATCTTAACATATGTGTAGATATTTTTTAACAATTTTGGTCCAAAATAAAGTTATATATGCGAAAAAAATTAGATTTCCTGTATATGAATGGAACTCATATAGGTTTAAAGCTTATTTGAATATTATGATTGGGTACTTTAATGTCTTTTATAAAATGATATCCTTTTTCAACATCTTTAGTAAATTATACTGAAAAGTTTTTAATATAATTTGAGATATTCTTTGATATTTTATACATATATATATAAATATCAATATATATTATAATCAACAATTTAGTTCCTTAGTAAAATTCGTAACTAATTATGTATACGAAAATAATTGATTTCCTTTTATATATTCATATGATACTTGCATCAATTTCATTAAATAATATTTTTATAATATTTTTAATTAAAAAAAATATTTTATTAATCCATAAAATGTTTGTTATTAATAGAAATAACAACAATAATAATAAATGTATTGTACTATGTTTGCATATATTCGTATGTCGAATGGAATCATTTAATATCTATAAATTTGACCACAAAAAATGAAAAGATCGTATTTGTTATTTTTATTTTTTTGTTTAATTTTTTTGTTAATTTTTGTACTCATACTGAAATTAATTAAAATACGAAAACAAATTAAATATTCAACAATACATAGAAATGAAAAGAAATATATGTAATTTGGTATAAAGTGAAGAAATTGTAGCCGAGCTGGAAGTTTGCACAAAATTAGTTCAATTTTGTATTCTCTCTCAATTAGACTGAAATAATTCCAGAAAAATAGGCGATGCTCGAAGAAGGTTTTCGTTGGTTGTGTAAATTTACCCAGCAAAAGCTCAATATTCTCTGTCGCATTCTATTGCAAACCCATCTCTTTCGTTGGCTGATCGATACCTATTTGAGACTAACGAAAAGCGATAAAGTTGAGGGTAGGAAGAAATTAGAAATCGATCAGGAAATCAAACAAAGTGCAAATGTGAACGCGGAAGTTAATGTAAAAAGTGCGAAAAGCGAGATTTCTAAAAGTCAAACAAACATGGGGATAGCACATCCAAAGCCTACTCATTATTATCCCCCTCCGCAAGTTGTAAAGCCTCCGCAAGCTGTAAAGCCCCCGCAAGCTGTGAAGCCCCCGCAGGTATGTTAGTTAAAACATATAAAACATTATTAATATTGTTTGTGTGTTATTCTTAATGTTGGTTGAGGTAAAATAACATCAATTTGTTGTTGTTGGATTGAGATTGTTGCATTAAAATCACACATACACAATACAGAATACAATGCATTTCTAGCTGTGCAAGCTGATAAAAATACCGTATTAAATATTGTATGAATATCATTTAATGCCAAAAAAAATTACATTTAAAGTGGAATTAAAACAGAATTATATACTTAAAGAAATTAAAATTCTAAATGAAATTTATTTGAAGTACCCAAGCAACTGTAGTTTCTTACCTACATGCATTCAATTTGTTGTTGGATTTACTGGCGCCATAATTTTTTCATCTGAAGTTAAGACAATCCAGTACTAAAAAAATAATAACAACGTACATATTTACATTTCTTCAATATCAAATAGCAAAATGATCACGTGTGGCGGGAATGATGAGCACTTGCTTTATTTTCAATCACTTCAGGCTAATAATCGATCTGTGATGACATTGAAAACTAATTCAAGTGTTGCGCGTTCTAGTCTGAGTGCGATTACTAAAAAAAAATCAAGATGAAGGTTGACTACGAAGTCAAATGAGATCACAAAATATAGGAAAAATGAGGCATTTACGACGTAATTATATTCTGTCTAGGATTAAAGCAATTAGGCGTTTCTAACGTGGGTTTATGTGGGTGGTTAGTCAACATTTTAAGAATGATGGAAAAAGATTCATATAAACGTAATTATATTCTGTCTAGGATTAAAGCAATCAGGCTTTTCTAACGTGGGTTTTTGTGGGTGGTTAGACAGGATTTTTGAATGTTGGAAAAAGATTTATATAAAGCATTTAATAATTTTGTCATATAATGAAAATAAAAAAAGAATTTCTAAATTGGTAAAGATCGGTTAATCATATCATATGGATATGTAGGTAGATAAGTTGATTTAAATTAAATCAACTGACCAATATAACCTGTCTTGTGATTTTTGATATGAAAAAAATGAGAAGATAAGTTACAAATTGACATGGATGATGTAGATTTTATGTGTCTACACTACTTACAATAGAAAAAACAGTAAACTATGATTATTATTCCGATTTACTAAATATTTTATTTATAAAAAATAATTAATTTCTAAATACTAAATCTACTAAATTTAGTTACTAAAATCAACTTAGCTTTACCGATTTACTAAAGCTTTTCTTTTAATAAAATAAAACATTTTTAAAATTAATTACAATAAATAATTTTTAATTAATAAAAATATTTTTTTTTTTTCTAAATAAAAGTATTTTTAAAAGTAAAAACATTCAGTTCATAATAATATCAATAAATTCTTTTTTTATTTATTTATTTTATTCTTTTAAGTGGCATCTATCAAAAAAAAAACCAGAAATGTATAGTCTTTCAATTCCCCACCCACTCTTTCTCACATCTTCTTGTCCAAATTAACTATAATTCTTTTTTAAGATACTTTAATTTCTATGCCTCATACATTGTTCATCAGAACTTTAATTGCTGCAATTTATTATCTAAATTATTTATGCTAATCAAATATTTATTTCATATTTTTCATATAAATTAGTTTGCAAATATTTTTTAGTTTTCTTTT